CCGCCCCGGGGCCCCCCCGGTCGGGCTGCGCCCGCCCCCCGCTTCTCTGGCTGCCCAGGAGCAGGAGGACGGCTGCGCATGCGCATGGAGCCTTCCTGCTCTGCAGGGGCCTCCCCAGGTGGGCAGCGCCTGCAGCCTCCAGGACTGCCCCTGCGATGGCCAGCTTCCTGGCCATTTCAGCAGCTCTGAAAGGAGCTCTGGGTGTCACGCTGACCACGCCCTGTCATCTGGGACGTCTGCAGAGCGTCTGCAGGTGGACAGCCTGATTTGTCCGTCTCAGGTTGATGTCTTCACAGCAGCCGCCCCAGGCGGTGTGGACCGGAGGTGTGGTCTGCGTGTCCTCATCCCTCACTTCCTCCAGCTGAGACCCGACAAGGGGCCTGCCAACAGAGCGCGTGTCCACCTGTCCTGGAGGGGCGCCTTGCGCTCTGCTGTGAACCATGAGCAGCTGCCGGAGGGACTGAAGGGGCTGAATGCCCCTCGGAGTTCCTGTGTTGAATGGAAGGCCTGGCTTTGGTTCCCACCCACCCTCAAGCGGGGGCAGCCTGTGGTCCCAGGGACTTGGGAGCCCGAGGCAGAAGGACCATGAGATGGGGAGGTGGGGGCGGGGGTTCTCCTTAAAAAAAAATCCTGTGTGGAAGTCCTAACCCTCAGTCCCTCAGAAGTGACTGTATTTAAAGAGGGAATTAGGCTAGAATGAGGTCACTAGAGTGACGAGGTCCCACAGGAGGAGATTACAGCACTGGGGGAGGGACCTTGGGGTCGTCCTAGATATCCGCGCGAAGTCCCCACAGAATGTCCACTCTGCTTGCGGCCTGAGGAGAGGAGGTCCGGTCACACGTGTCACCAGGAAGGACATGTAAGGAGATGCAGGAGGGCGGCCAGGAGGTGGTGTAATGGCGAAGGCTCTGAGCTCCCACATGGTGGACCACAGTTCGAGTCACAGACCTGCAGCTTGAAAATCACAACGGGTGCGGCCCTGCATGCCCCAAATCCCAGGAGGATAGATGAGAAAGGACTGCAGCGTGGCCATCCCCCCTGGGGTAAGGGTGACTTCTCATCTTCCCTCTCTGTCTCTCTCCAACGAGCACATGTGCCCTCTGGCAAAAAACCTTTAAAGAGAGAGAGATGCAGGGGGGAAACAGCCATGCACAGCCAGGCAGCAGCCTCAGTGGGGCAGGTTGCGGCCCCACATGCGCCTCACAGAGGCCTGGCCTCCTTCCCTGCTGTGCTGCAACCTCCCTGGACCCCTCCATGCCAGGGCCTGTGAGCCCAGCACGGTGCTCCCCGGTGGCTCCCATCACTGCTCCCTGGCGTTGGAGCCCCGGGCCAGGACGGTCTCACGGAGGGCCTCCCTCCCACAGCATTCATGGAGCCGGCGAACGGAGCCAAGGAAAGCTGCCGGCCTCCCCGGCTCCCAGGCAGTCGGCGTGTGCTTGCCCAAGGCCCAGGTGAAAGGTTCAATCCCGAGGCCCTCTCCTCAGCCCTCCTTGCAGGCTCCAGCCAGAACCAGGCTGCCTTGCAAGAAACAGGGGCCGCAGGGCACTGGGTGTTGGTCCATCCGCTCCGGTCTTAACTTCTGGCCCCTCTAGCACTGGCCAGTTCTGCTCCTCACTAAGCAAGTCAAGCTTACTGTTGCAGCTGTCTGCAAAGATGGGTGACAAAAGCAAGCCTTTCTGCAAAGACAAAAGCCACCACTCACATTCCCAGCCACCTGGCTCTGGGCGTTAGGTAAAGCCAGGCTTCACTTAGCAGAAAGTCTTCTTTCATCTCCAAGGAGGATGGGGGTGGGGAGGGTCCCAGGGGAGGGCAGAGCTGTCTCCTACCCGGCTGAGAAAGCTTCAGATTCAAGCGGGGCTCAGGCGCAGCTCAGACAAGTAACAGCCTCTGAGAGCATCAAAGACATTTTAACTCGCGGTAATGGAAGGGGGGAGGGGGGAGGGGGTTAATGTGGCACTTGCACACCTCTCTGGTTCTCAGTTCTCTGCTATTGTTCATGTGCTCATTGTAAGAAAAAAGGAAAAGGGACCAGCAGTTAGCGTAATGGCTATGTTGCTGGACTCCTACGTGGTCGTCCGCGGTTCGCGTCCGGGACCCGGTGACTTAAACTCACGCTGGGCGCGTGTGCGTGCGTGCCCAAGATCCCGAGAGGAGAATGGAGGAGAAGGGATTGCGGCGTGGCCATCCCCCCTGGGGGTGATTTCTCACTTTCTATCTGTCTCTCTCTGTCTGGTGAGTGCATGCGTCCTATAGCAAAAACTTCTCCGCGGTGAGGGAATGGGTCCTAAAACAAAAACTTTTAAAAAAAAAAAAAAAAAAAGGAAAAGAAAAGAAAATGTAAACATGTAGC